GCCGGCATTGTAGTCTACTCTACCAGGATCAGGAAACGGTTCTCCATAAAATGTGCTGCACACATCCGAATATTTGGGTTGAGGTTTTCTGGAACAGTGTTGTAAATACAACTTAACCACTGATTTCTAGTCGTGTCCATTTTTGGAAGGCCAAACAAAGTAGTTTCGCTTTCACAACGAAACAGCGTCACACACCGTGGCCTACAGTGAGCAGAGGCCGGGGGATAAAGTGAGGAACGGCAGGAGGGTTATCGTCGAGGGTTATATGACGAAGCAGATATCGTCCTCTTTTGGAAGACCAAACAAAGTAGTTTCGCTTTTACAACGAAGCACACAGCGTCTTTACGACATGGCGGCAGAAACAACAAAACTACAGCGAGAATAAAAGTTACGCCTTCTTTCTTTGCGTGAACATTTGGGTGGCGTTATGCAAATCTTCCCACATCGTGACGTAGGTATGTGGGGGCGTGTTAGAACGAGCCGTTTTAGGTAGGCGTGGCTGACTCTTAACTTTTATAAAGAATATCTCTTTGGATTTGAGACTTTAGTCTTTGCAACTTTACAGAGCTTCTTTATGCACCAAGAGCTTGTAACACTCCAAAGAGAAAGGAAAAATTGAAATCGCATGACCCCTTTAATATAAATATTCAAATACTGAACTTCCACAAAATCACGTTAATACATCAAAATCCACATATATTTTAAAAACATTTTTCAATAAAATGATTATACTTCATTACACGTTACACGCTTGTCCACTCATCGGCCATGCCCTTGCATGTATCATTCAAGATACAATGTCCAATTTAGTGCTGTATTACTGAGAGTCAGACACTTTCCCACAGAGCAGAGATGGACTCTGAGGAGATGGAGGTGGAGAGCAGCAGCGATGTGGGGCATTCTGGGATGGAGGAGCCGTCGGAGAGCGGCATAGGCATGGAGTCTTCAGAAGCCATGTCTGCCGATAGCAGTGATGCGGCGGCTCCTCCTGCCCCGGCCCCAGAATCAGACTGCCACGTAGGACAGAGCTCTGAGGGACTTGTGGTAAGACAAACAACCCACACATTTATATCTCCGCATGTTAGGGTGTATGTAATTCATATCAAGGTTAATTTTTTGGGTTGCACTTTAGGTTTTTATCCCAGAGACAAGCTCCAGTACAGATGTGCGAAGAGTTCATCTCCCAGACTCCTCTTCTGTCGCCCAGTCAACCAGTGTGTCCAGCGTCTCCACGGTGACACAGTCGGTCCTGGTGTCAGAGTCTGTCCAGGTCCTGGTCCACTCCAGTGCTGTTTCTGAAGGAGGAATGATGGTTTCTGATTCCACTGCTTCCACATCCTCAGATCTCGGCTCAGCTATTGACAAGATCATTGAATCCACCATTGGACCTGACATCATGAATGGTAGAGAAACCTCTTGCCTCTTCTTTTTTATCACAACTAAGGTATTTAATATGGTAGACACTGTCATCTTTATGTGTATGTAGTATTCAATATAAATACTGTGTTTCTATGCCCATTTTACAGGATGTATTGCGGTTACGAGCGCAGAGGATGGCAGTGCAGAGACCACACAGTATCTGATACTCCAAGGTCCTGATGACGGTAAGAAAGATCCCTAGAGTTTAAGGTTAAGGACTGTATGCAAAATCGCATGCTCTATGAGTAGGTGCTTCTCTTAAATAAGTGATTAAAACAGTATGTTCCATATAGTATGAATGTGTGTAGCATTATTGTAAACCAAACATCTGACCTACAACGTCAGTTGCATCACTTGCTGACATTCACAAATCCTCTCCCGTGGCCTCATGGCAGAGTAAACTGTCCATCAGATGCACACTTCAGAATCTCGCCGGAAGTAGTAGGGCATCCAGGTACTTTTCACTTGCTGTTTTATGAATACTGTGAATTCGGACATACTACTCTTTTCACATACTGTTTTTCACCTGCACTACATGGTTGTTGGGAAACAAAACAAGCTTTGAAATAAGATAAACTAACTAAAAATCATAATATATTTATTATATTACTTCAGCTCCAAACTTCTGGATTTTTTTTTTTTTAATTATTGCTAAATGACCAAACCCTGTTCCACAGAAAAACACAAATCATATGAGTTTTGAACAGCATGAGCATTAATAGATTATGGCAGATCCCTTAAACAGATTATGGCAAAGCCCTTCATATGGCGATGTCTATTTATATTGTATTGTATTAAAAATCCCTTTTGATCTTGTTCTTGTCATAATCTGTGTGACTAATCTAGATTTTCAAAGTTGTTAATTAGTATATTGTTTGACCCAAATGTGCTAGTAGTATTACCATACTCATTGCAGGAAAGACGTTTTTCAAATTGACTTAAAGGGATAGTCCATGTAAAAATGAAATTACTCCCCTTACTTCCGTTCTAAACCTGTATGAAAAAAAAAAAAACAGATTTTGAGGAATGTTGGTAACTGAACAGTTTCAGTTCCCATTGACTTCCATTGAATGGACAAAAATGCTTCAAAAACGTTCTTCAAAATATCTTCTTTTGTGTTGCACAGATGAAAATGCATACAGATTTAGAACAACATGAGGGTGAGTAAATAATGATGAAAGAGGGGTAGTTCTTGGATATTCAAATAGCCATTTCCTTTGTTCACTGTGTATAGGAGCTCCTATGGTGGCTCAGATGTCTTCCTCTGCACTGTCAAGCCGCATTGCCATTGAAGCACTTGCTGATGGACCCACCTCCACTTGTCTGGACCAGGCAGACCTGTCAGATAACCCGCAGGGCAGTGTGGAACCCGACCAGCCTGGACACTCCGGATACCGTGAGCACGACGATGGCAGCAGCAGCTGCAGTCGCCCAGACCAGCCGCAGCATTCCCAGTACATAGAGTGGAGTGGAGGAGAAGACCCAGACCAGACCAGAGAGGCTCGGTACATCGAGTGCTCGGGAGCTGAACCAGACCAGACCCCACGTCATTCAGGGGTCACCAACTACAATGTGGCAGACTCAGAAGAACCTCTAGGGCGTTATGCAGCAGAGTGTAGCGGTACGAACGGTAGCCCTCAGAGGCGCTCGTTTCGCTCCTCCCGGTACATCGTAGAGTGCAGTGATGACTACTTGGAGTACAGTGCTGAGGGTGCGGAGCGGCCGCAGCATTCACGTTATATCGACAGCAGCGTGGATGACAGGGAGCACGTCTCCGCATCAGAGCAGGAAGGAAGTGCGGTAGATGAGCCCCAGCACTCCTATTTGCCACAGGGCATGCTATATGCCGACGAGGGTGCCGTTCGGCACTCACTGGCTGACACAGTGGGATCCCAGCTCACTAATCAAATGGACTGCAATGATAACTTGTCCGGCCCATACATAAGTAGCAGTGGGACATATTCCACCCATCCAGAGCCTGAAGTGGAGGAGTCTGGGGTGGTGGTTGAGTCTGGGCACACAACCCCAGACATGGCTGAGCTAGAGGAAATGATGGAGGTGGTGATCGTACAGCAATTTAAGTGTAAGATGTGCCCATATAAAAGTGTCTCCAAGGATACGCTCATCAACCACATGAGAGACAAACACTTTAAACCACCAGGTAAATTAGGAGGTGCTAATTTTGTCTTTTCAAATGTAAATTCAACTCTTTGTTTTTAATATCTGCCCCATTAATGGCCCTGTGCAAAATGGGGTCATACTTTATGCTTAAGAAATTTATTTGAAACTTTAAGGGCACATGATGGCCACAAAGGCTTTTTAGTCAAGTCATGTAAAAATTTATTTATATAGCACATTTAAAAGCAGCAGAACTTGATTGGAAATTGAGCAGTAGAGATAATGCAAGCTTCATGAGACACATTCAAATTCTGATGTAAAGCAGCTCTAAAAAGACAATAGTGTCGTAATTCAGCTCATGTCAGTTCAGTGTTGGTTCAGTTCAGTTCAGTTCAATAATTGTGTAAAGTTCATCAGTTATAAGTTTAATTCAGCTACAATCAGCTCTACAGAAGACATCATCCAGCTCAAGTTCAGTTCATCTTCTGTTCTCATACGTTAATGTCAGTGCAGTCAAATCGATATTATTACTGAATATTAGAAGTCTGTTAAACCCTAGCTAAGCAAACCAGAGGCAACGGTGGCAAGCACCCCAAAATCCATCAAGTGACAGAAATGGAGGAAAAAAAGCTTTGGGAGAAACCAGACTCCCTTGTAGGACCAGTTCTCCTCTGGCCTGAATTAACAAACACAATTACAATAACTTAATGCAAAAAATAGGGCCGGTGTCCTGACATTTTATCCTACCCGTCAGATTGTCCTACCAGGGTTTACTGCGTATGCGCTCATCAATATTACGTCCTTTTTCTCATGCTGAACAACAATATTTAGTGTATCTGCATTACTGTAAGGGTAGGTTTAGGGTTGGGGTAGGTGTAGACTTTAATAAAACACAATCTAATAGGTAGAAAAAATTATTTAATGTTGGTTTCCTGTAGCTGTATCTCTTCTAGCTACAACCGAGAATATAACACATAATTACTGTATTTGCATTACTGTAACGGTAGGTTTAGGGTTGTGGTAGGTGTAGACGTTAATAAACCATAATTTTACAGGTAGCATTTTTCGTTGTCGAATTGTACTACCCACGGTTTTAATGGGAGGTAGCAAAATCTGACAGGATAGCAAAAATCGACAGAACACCGTCTTAAGTATCAATCAGGTCTTAACTTATGTATGCAGTTCTCTTAAGGTTCTCTTGTTCAGAATGTGCTATCTCATGTAGGTGGTCCGGGCCAAAAGAAACGTGGACGGGGACGTCCTCGAAAATCTGAAAGCAGAAAGCAGAGCGTCGCTGAGGTCAAGAAGGAGGAGCCTCCTGAAGAGGAAGAAGATGACATCATTGATGCATGATGCAGTGATGATCAAGGTCAGTGGAGAGCAGTTTGCATACTCTATATTTCATTTCCTGTTTTTTTTTTTTTTTTTTTTTTTGATTTTTGCTTTCAGGTCCGAGGCCAGGTCCAGATTGGCTTCCAGTCACAGCACTCCTCCTCCTTCCTGCTCTTCATCATCTTCCTCACGGAAACGGCCCCGCAGGATAGTCAGGATAGTTCGCAAATTCCTTCCTGACTCAGGTCTTAGCTTTTCAGGTCTAAGAAGTTGAATAAAATATATAAAATATTCATTTTAAAGAAATTAACATTCAAGTCATAAATCTACTTCACAACTTTCATAGATCTGAGATAACACTTATTTTCATCTGTGTATGAAACAGAGTCACCAGCGGCGTCTCAAACAAACAATGCAGGGGACCCTCAAGCTCCTGAAGAAGCAAGTTCCTCTGGATTGGAGAATGGATCTTCCTCACTATCCAACGGGTCAGCAGTGGAACCAGCCGTCAGCCAGTCAGATTCAGAAAACAAAGATCCCTCATCAAACACAGGCCCTGACGACCTGGAGTTTTTGCCCAAAAAAAGAGGCAGACCTTCTAAACGATTCCTTCAAAAGAAGTACAAAAAGTACATGAATCGCAAGTAAGTAGTACCTGTACTACTCTTTGATCATCCACAACATTCGATTAATTTCACTTGACCGTTTGACACAAAATTATATCTTAGAAAATATCTTAGTTTCATTTTTTTTTTTTAAAGCAAGTACTACAGATCCCTTAAGCCTCTGCTAAGACCTCATAATTGCTGGATCTGTGGCTCTCGCTTTCTGTCACAAGAGGATCTCAGATTCCATGTGGATTCTCATGAGGGAAATGACCCTGAACGCTTTAAGTGCCTGCAGTGCAGCTACCGCTGCAAACGGTGGTCCTCACTGAAGGTAAGAACTACATTCTTTCATTTGACAATCTATAAATCCATAAACATTTATTTTATTCACTTTTATTAGTTAAATTATTAGGTAATTTTTTTTATTTAATTTAAATGTTTGTATAATATGTGCTAATGTCTAATGTATATAACTATAACATTGATGTATGTGTCCTATAGGAGCACATGTTCAATCATGAAGGTACAAAACCATACAAATGTGAGACGTGTGATTACTCCAGTGTTTATAAGAAAGACGTGATCCGGCACTCAGCTGTTCACAACAAAAGCAAGTAAGAACTGAGCATGTCTCCTTTTCATCAATCACTTGTCATGAATTTTATTTTGTCAAACCCTTGAGGTCGTCTATATGATTTTTGTGTTTTGAAAAGATTTTTGTCTGTCCACTTGAAATGGTAAAATATTGAAATTTAAAATTCACATATGACATAACCTGATTAATGTTTTTAATGAATGTTCTGGTTTCTTCTCTTTTAGGAGTCGAAAGACAGATATGGTAAGATTCAAGATGTGACATGATGTATCAGTTTAAGTTAGCTTTGAGTGGTTTGATAAGGAAAGGTTTTCATGCAACAGTAGTCTTGCATCAATCCTTCCCAGGTTCCCAAAGTGTCCGAGTTTCCATGCCCCATCTGCTGTCGCGTTAATTTTACAGGTAGCATTTTTCGTTGTCGAATTGTACTACCCACGGTTTTAATGGGAGGTAGCAAAATCTGACAGGATAGCAAAAATCGACAGAACACCGTCTTAAGTATCAATCAGGTCTTAACTTATGTATGCAGTTCTCTTAAGGTTCTCTTGTTCAGAATGTGCTATCTCATGTAGGTGGTCCGGGCCAAAAGAAACGTGGACGGGGACGTCCTCGAAAATCTGAAAGCAGAGCGCGAGCGGTCGCTGAGGTCAAGAAGGAGGAGCCTCCTGAAGAGGAAGAAGATGACATCATTGATGCAGGCGCTCTTGATGATCAAGGTCAGTGGAGAGCAGTTTGCGTACTCTATTTATGTCCAGATTGGCTTCCAGTCACTGCACTCCTCCTCCTTCCTGCTCTTCATCATCTTCCTCACGGAAACGGCCCCGCAGGATAGTTGGGCCACCCCGCAAATTCCTTCCTGACTCAGGTCTTAGCTTTTCAGGTCTAAGAAGTTGAATAAAATATTTAAACATTACATTTTAAAGAAATTAACATTCAAGTCATAAATCTACTTCACAACTTTCATAGATCTGAGATAACACTTATTTTCATCTGTGTATGAAACAGAGTCACCAGCGGCGTCTCAAACAAACAATGCAGGGGACCCTCAAGCTCCTGAAGAAGCAAGTTCCTCTGGATTGGAGAATGGATCTTCCTCACTATCCAATGGGTCAGCAGTGGAACCAGCCGTCAGCCAGTCAGATTCAGAAAACAAAGATCCCTCATCAAACACAGGCCCTGATGACCTGGAGTTTTTGCCTAAAAAACGAGGCCGGCCGTCTAAGCGATTCCTTCAAAAGAAGTACAAAAAGTACATGAATCGCAGGTAAGTAATACCTGTACTATTCTTTGATCATCCACAAAAACATTTGATTAATGTCTTGTCCGTTTGACACAAAATCATATCTTAGAAAACCTTATCCATTTTAAACATTCTAGACTGTCAAAACCTCATTTAACTTTTTTTTAGCAAGTACTACAGATCCCTCAAGCCTCTGCTAAGGCCTCATAACTGCTGGATCTGTGGTTCTCGCTTTCTGTCACAAGAGGATCTCAGATTCCATGTGGATTCTCATGAGGGAAATGACCCTGATTGGAGAATGGATCTTCCTCACTATCCAATGGGTCAGCAGTGGAACCAGCCGTCAGCCAGTCAGATTCAGAAAACAAAGATCCCTCATCAAACACAGGCCCTGATGACCTGGAGTTTTTGCCTAAAAAACGAGGCCGGCCGTCTAAGCGATTCCTTCAAAAGAAGTACAAAAAGTACATGAATCGCAGGTAAGTAATACCTGTACTATTCTTTGATCATCCACAAAAACATTTGATTAATGTCTTGTCCGTTTGACACAAAATCATATCTTAGAAAACCTTATCCATTTTAAACATTCTAGACTGTCAAAACCTCATTTAACTTTTTTTTAGCAAGTACTACAGATCCCTCAAGCCTCTGCTAAGGCCTCATAACTGCTGGATCTGTGGTTCTCGCTTTCTGTCACAAGAGGATCTCAGATTCCATGTGGATTCTCATGAGGGAAATGACCCTGAACACTTTAAGTGCCTGCAGTGCAGCTACCGCTGCAAACGGTGGTCCTCACTGAAGGTAAGAACTACATTCTTTCATTTGACAATCTATAAATCCATAAACATTTATTTTATTCACTTTTATTAGTTAAATTATTAGGTAATTTTTTTTATTTAATTTAAATGTTTGTATAATATGTGCTAATGTCTAATGTATATAACTATAACATTGATGTATGTGTCCTATAGGAGCACATGTTCAATCATGAAGGTACAAAACCATACAAATGTGAGGTGTGTGATTACTCCAGTGTTTATAAGAAAGACGTGATCCGCCACTCAGCTGTCCACAACAAAAGCAAGTAAGAATTCAGCATGCCTCCTTTTCATTAATCAATCGTCATGAATTTTATTTTGTCAAACCCTTGAGGTCATTTATATAAAAAATATTGAATTAATTTAAAATTCACACATGACATAACCTGATTAAAGTATTAATTAATGTTCTTGTTTCTTCTCCTTTAGGAGTCGGAAGACAGATATGGTGAGGTCAAAGATGTGAACCATATGTGAACAAACAAACATTCATGTTTAAAGGAAATTGTCCTTATTGACATGATATATCAGATAAAGTTAGCTTTGAGTTGTTTGATGAGGCTAGCTTTTCATGCAACAGCAGTCTTGCGTCAAACCTTCACAGGTTCCCAAAGTGTCCGAGTTTCCATGCCCCATCTGCTGTCGCGTGTATCCCATGCAGAAACGCCTGACGCAGCACATGAAGACACACAGCACAGAGAAACCTCACATGTGTGACAAGGTAAAGTTCTTGTTTACATTTTGTTAATTAAACTAGTTTTGATGAATCAGTAAATAAGCCTTAGCACATTGTCGTTAACACAGATAAAAAAAAGTCGCTATGATCTATATTGGCTTACAATGTTTTTGTGAAATGCAGCCCTGTATATTTGCTATGTTCACACTAGTATAAATGGGTTTGCTTTGCAGTGTGGGAAATCCTTCAAGAAGCGCTACACTTTCAAAATGCATCTTCTCACACACATACAGAACTGTGGCAACAGCATGTAAGTGAGATGTCAGGACTCAGTGTAACTGTCTGTTCCTCCACTGGTAAACATAAAGTAAAGGTAGCTATTGTTCTCTTCTCCTGCGTCAGGTTTAAGTGTGAGTTCTGTGAATACACCTGCAATGACAAAAAGCACCTGCTTAATCACCAGCTGTCCCACACCAACGACAAACCGTTCAAATGCGAAGAGTGCAAATACTCCACAAGTAAAGAGGATTTCCTAGTGTCCCACATTGCCATTAAACACACTGGTGAGTTACGTAATCATTAGAAAGTTTTTATTTTTGGCAGTAAGAAGGTTTTCTGATGATACCTGTCCATCTTCACCCTCTGATCAGGTGAAAAGCCCTTCTCATGCGACATGTGCCACTTCACGACCAGACACAGGAAGAACCTGCGGCTGCATGTGCAGTGTCGCCATCCCGAGGCCTTCGATGAGTGGAGCCAATCCCACCCAGAGGAGCCAATTCGCCAGCGCCAGACACCTGTTTTCAGTATGCAGCAGATTGAGGAGCTGAGATTGCAGCATGAAACCCAGGGATTTCAAGGGACAATTGTAAGTACATGGATATGCCTTTTGATGCCCTTGTATCTGAATGGAAGAAAATCCCAGCATCCATATATATATAATATTTGTTTTTACACCTAAAGGTAGCAGTGGACCCCATTACTTTCCAAACCATGGAGTCCTTAGGGAACACATCTGTATCTCAAGATGCACTGGGGAACACTACCATCATTTACGAGCAAGGTCAGTAGAAAAGTGATCAGTGGATCAGTGTTTGGAACCCACTTAAAATATATGGTTGGTGTGATTATGAATATAATTCACCTTATTAATATTAAGCGTACAGTGTTAAATTTAATCTTTACCCTCTCTCACAGCCCAGACTACAGACCTCTCAGCCCAGAATGCTCTCGATCTGCTGCTAAACATGAGTAACGCCAGAGAACTGCAGGTACTGTACTGACACACTCACATCATCTCCTGGATTATAAAATAATGTTATAAATACATAATGTGTATGACATTTATTGGATAAAAAGGTACCAGTAAGTGAATTAAGGTCATATCTTTAAAAAAAAGTGTCAATTTGGATACTAATTTTAACAGCAACAACAACAAAACTATAAGCCAATACTGGTATGTATCACTGTTTTGCATTTGACTTGTGCATTAAAGTGTACAGATTTCAGATGCAACCCTACAAAAGGCCAAAAAAGCTATTTTAGTGTTACATTTATAATAAAATAACAAAAATATATATTAAGTACTTTCCATTAAAGTGTACAGATTTCAGGTGCAACCCTACAAAAGGCCAAAAAAGTTATTTTAGTGTTACATTTATAATAAAAAAACAAAAATATATATTAAGTACTTTCCATTAAACATATCTGGATTGGTTCTGTTAGTTGAATGTATAACGGGCCTACATTACAAGAAAAGCAAAGTAAAGAAAAGTAGAAAATATTCTTATATGAGGTTGTTATATTTGTACTATAACAATAAGCAATAGAAAACAATAAAAACGTTTTGTGATGGAGTATTACAAAGTATAAATTATTTAAAAACAGATTGAAAGGTTTTCTTTACAAAAACAGCTTTTCTTGTTTTTCTTTTAATGTATGTGTACACAGACTTCATGTGTACAAAACATCAGACGTGCTTTACACACAATAATTAATTGGTTGTATTACAAGATTATTTTTGCCAAAAGCTGGCATACTGTAGATCATGTACAATGCAATAAATACTTAGTAATTATTAGTAAGCCATAATAATGCTATCAGCCTTTTTATTATTATAGCTTGTTATATTTGTTCATCTATATCCCTAAAACTCATCACAATGTTAAACTGAAATTATGTGACTATATTATATATCTATACAGATTTTTATTTTCTGTGATAAACTGATCCCTCTTCTCAGGTGGCAGTGTTGAAACCAGATGGTAAGACCCTGGAGATGGGTTCTTGGACCGGAGCTGGCTCTGGGAGTGAGGGCTCATCCTTGCAGCCTCAAAAGATCGTCACATTCCATGTGTCAGAGAATGGGGACACTCTGGTGCAGGAGGCATTTGAGACAGCTACAGGGACCGTGGAGCAAGAGGAGACAACGGGTGTGTCGCAGGAGGTGACACAGATTGGTATTGGTACATATGAGGGAGCAGATTTCAGTGTGGTGGAGCAGGCCTCTGAAGAAACGACACACAGGTACTACCAAATGTCAAAAAGAGCCACTGTAATGCCTTTTAATGTCATATAAATCCTTTAAGATGATGCATGTGTGATGTTACTGCTTGGCAGCAGTTTAGAGGAACCCTCAGCAGAGCCTCCGGTCATGGAAGTGAGCACCGAGCCCTTGTCCATCTCTACACCGCTCAAAGAGAATAAAGATAAGTTTTATTTGAGCTCAGGCTTGACAGATGGAGTCCTGCAGCAGGTAGAGGTGAGACTCGGCTTTGTTACTTCACAGGTGGAATAACTAATTGTGCTCCTTCTCAATGGAAAGATTAATTGACAAAATTCTCCTCCTGCAGCTGAGCAGTGAAGCTCCAGGTTCCCCTTCCCTGTGTCCATCACCCCCTTCTCAACAGCTCAACACCAAACGCTTCTCCTGCCGCATCTGCATGGAGGCTTTCCACGGCCGCTCGGACATGGAGAACCACAAGAGGGCGCACATAGACCCCAAAACATTCAAATGCCCTGACTGTGACTTTACAGCACCTTCTTGGCCAGAAGTCAAGGTGTGTTGGTCATGTGGTTTAAATCAGTAAATCAGTTTTAAATCAGTATTGTAGAAAATGATTTTTTTCTACAAAACCTTTTTTGTTGTGTTAAATACTTTTTATAATATATCTATTTTTATAATTCTAGTCTCACATGGCCATGCACGCATATTTGAGGCCTCATAAATGCAACAGCTGCAGTTTTGCTTCTAAAAACAAGAAAGACCTGAGACGCCACATGATGACACACACCAACGAAAAGCCTTACGCCTGTCAGGTCTGTGGCCAAAGGTAAGGGAACAATTGAGAAATTATCATTAAAATGATAATGGAATTGATTTATTAGAGAATTTGTAGAATTTGTACTGTTAACATTACTGGCTATACAACACTTCCACTACTTGATGTAAGTAACACACGTACACGCAGACCTCCACAGCCTCTCAGTGCTCTGAGTTTCTCTTTAAGGTTTAACCGTAATGGCCATCTGAAGTTCCACATGGAGAGGCTTCACACACAGGAACCCTCACCCCGTAAACCCCGCTCTGTCCCCTCTCAGCAGACCATCATCGTCAATAGCGATGAAGAAGCTTTAGCCACACTGCAGAGTAAGTACTGACTCTGATAGTTAGACTGTATTTTGTTTATATAGAAATAATAGATTCACACAGCCCTATTCTGATTGTTTGACATGTCTTGTCATTTTTACGTTATAATATTTCTTTTTCCTGTGTTGTTCAGATCTGCAGGCCGGTCAGGCAGTCATAAGTCCGGAGAGGTTGCAGCAGGCTTTGGGTCAGGAACACATCATTGTGGCTCAGGATCAGACTCTTTCTGACGAGGTATTGCACACTTGCACAATGCACACAGTCTCATTCTCATTCTCTGTGTGATTGACTCTTTTTGGCCAATCCTAGAGCAGGGTATTAACTTTTAATGCATGTGTAATGCAGAAGGTTTTATATCAGGCCTCAGCTAGATTCAGGTTTTCACATTTTGCTTGTTTTTGACAAAATTCTACATTTCTCAGGAGGAAGCAACATATATTCAGCAGATCACAACAGTAGATGGACAGACGGTACAGCACTTAATGACTGGAGACAATCAGGTCACTGAGGTACAACTCATTTTCTGAGGCTTTATTCAGAAAACCAGCAAAAATTATATACACACTACAGTCAAATTTTGGAGTTTTTTTTTTATTTTTTAAGTAAAAAGTAAAAGTATAAAGTAAATACATTAAATTGATCAAAAGTGACATTAAAGATATTTTATAATGTTAGAAAAATATTTTCAACATTGATAATAATAGGAAATGTTTCTTGAGCACCAAATCAGCATATTAGAATGATTTCTGAAGGATCATGTGACACTGAAGACTGGATTAATGACTGCTGACAATCCAGCTTTGCCATCACAGAAATAAATTACATTTTAATATATATATATATATTAAAATACAAAACAGTTATTTTAAATTGTAATAATATTTCACAATATTACTGTTACATATTAGAAACAAACAACTAAATAAAATCTACACAAGCCTACATAGTCAGGAAAAAGTCTATATGTTAAGGAAAAATGCAGCCAACTGTTTTCGTTGTTTCTAGCATATACAGATGCTCTTTA